ATTTCTTCACGTCAGAAACTTGAGCAATATCCAATCAATTTTATCTTATTAACAATGGATTAATATTAGTAATAATCAACAGAGTAATCAATTATCAAAATAGTTGTTAGTTGCAGCTCTAGCAGGGTGAACTTTTGCTACATGGCAATTAAACATCATCTGCCACAGCACGGTGCGCAACAATCAAATATTTGCAAGCAGTTTGTCACACGCATGATGTAATACCACTATTGACCTTGCAATTATCATGAAGGAGGATAAAGTGATTGTTGCTGTGATAACTTTTCAGAGGTTACAGTAAAAGGATTAGTAGTAGGATTAGTTTTGAATTAGGGTGAGTGTGAAGGGTGAGGTTACAGAAACTTTTGATACCAATTTATTCTCAGTGCTAACATAACTAAATCAATTAACAGAATACTTCCTTCTTTAACTCAGCTTACAGTGTGGTGTCTGATGTAGAACAAAGGTAATATTACCATCAGGAATTATGTAAACGTCTGAACCATCAAAATGTGTCCCTAATAATGTGAGAGTACATGTTTCTATAACTTATACTCTGAGTAACAGATAGTGATTTTAACATTTTCCGGAGTTCATTTCAAGGTCTGTGTGGCATCAAACATGAAAGCGTCCTTTAGAAACGCTGCGAGTTTTAGGAAGTGAAGCAACTAACTGGGCAGTATGATGAGATGAGAATTCAGTAAGGATACAAGTAAGAGGGCAACAAACCAAAAATGTAGCCGTATAAGACGATATGATTGGTCAAGGGTACCTGGTTAACCTCAGCATACAAAGTGCACTGATTGAGCTCTGCGGTCTCTTTCTTCTGACAGGGATGCTTCAGGTGTTTCTGTGCTATTGTAAAATGTTTTATATGACAAAGACATCTTAACCTGGTTTCCCATAATCAGAGCATGATCTTCCCGGGTTATTCCAACCCAGCTACGCCGCTGACCTAAACCTGGGTGAGCTGTAACGGCTCGTTGTATCGCCGACTTTTCTCTGCATGAATACAGACACATTGTCATTAAGCTACTTTAAGGATAAAGGTAAACTGTGCCAGGCATCTCAGTGGGAGCTGGGTGTTGGCTGCGTCTGGGCCTGGCAGCAGATCTACCTGAAGCTTGAGAGGAGGAGAGGACAACATGGCCAACAGCTGCTTGTCTGTCTGTTATGTCTACCGGCTACGACGCCTCTTGCCAAGTGCAAAGACTCACAATCTGAATTCCGCTGTCTGTATTTCACGGTTCACTAATCTATGCTATTGTATATTCCCATTCCTCCTTTGCACTTGGTCCAATTTTGCTTTTGACCAGTCGGTTGTGGGTGTTCGGCTTTGATATTTGGCTCACTTAAGGATTACACTGCATCTTTAGATAATGTTGGGTGTTATTGTGTTTCTGGTTTAACATAAATCAAATATATCCAAAAGGGAAAACTGGAGCTTTGAATATCAAGTCAGTGTTTACTACAAAGGTATGGCTCATTTTCCCTTGATGGTTGCTGTTTCCATTACTCAGGCTGAAAACATATCAGTTGATGCAGAATTATTTCCCCGCTTTATTCTCTATATAATTTTGAAAAGGCTGAATTATTAAATGCACACGTTCTCCCAGGAGTGCTGGTGCTTGAAAGGCAGCATTGGATACAAATTTAGAAGAAGCATGTAAATATGAATGCATGCACATACACCCACCTACACACCCACTCATACACACACATTTGCCAGCAGTATTTTCATCCTATTTTGCGATGCTGTTATTTCACATTTCCTGCATTACGCTGTGCCGTCTACTTGCTTTTAAAGCAAGTGTTGAAAACAACAAATATCTAACATCTTGCTGTGTTTCTCCTCAAACTGCTGCTTCCTTCTGTCTTTTTCTCATCTTTATGAAATGGGATACAGCTCCTGCTCATTTGTCCAGTATCTTTTGGCAAAGATCTCTGAAACAGAGTGCAGAGGGTCCCATAGGACCGTCTAGAGAAGAGAGGAGAGCTGAGCCACAAGCAGCTGTGTTCTGCCTGCCATAACTTTGGGGAGAGCTCAGAACTGGTAATGGCCGTGCTGTGTTGTGCAGCTTGTTATGAGATAGACACTGGACAGTACATGTACTATAGATGATCAGACACTGTTTTAATGATAGAGGGTGAAATGCTGCAGATAATGTATGGCCTCTGTTGATTTCTCACAGATGTTAAACCCAATACGACAAGAGGATATCAAGAATATGAATTTGCCTGAAAAATATAAATGGCTTCTCTAATTTTAACATTGCCATATATAGTTCTATAGACATGAAATAAATTTTGAATATTGGCGAGCCCAAATGGAAGTTACAGGTTACAACTAAAATGTCTTCTTAAATGTGGTGTGTGAGGTGGTGGTGATAAACAGGTTTAGGTGACTCCAGTTGTTTGCACAGAACATTTACTTGTGGGCTTGCAAGTAATTTCTTGGTCATTATAAACAGCAAGGTGTGTGACGTTTGTGCACATTTACACATCTGGTTTTTGGTTCTAAATTTGCTTGTATGTGTAATTAAATACACAAATTAAAATAGCTATTGAACCACCCTGACAAAACAGGAAGTCGCCAGAGAAAAAACATTTCATTGTCTGCCAGGAAGAAAAATCTCTAGTATCTCTAGTGTAAATGTAAACGTACTGTGAAAAATAATTTGAGTCTTTTTGGCGCAGATCAGAGACAAACTGTGTCTAAAGGTGCCAAAACAACGGCTGCCTGAAGTTTGACAAACTGTAGCACATTAATCAGAGGTCTGCTTTTTCTATTTAGTAATATTACATCACTGTCTTAAATATTATAACTATTAATAATAAGTTGTGCACTCTTCAGGGTGTTTTTAGTTCTATCTCACTTTGCAAACAGCAGTGAACCCTCAACTGACACAAATTTATTATTGACACTGAAACTATATAAAGTTAATTTTAAAAAATAGCATAAAAATGGAGGCAATTAATTCTTAAGTGAATATTTCCACTCCCTTCAGTTTAACCTGAGCTTAATGGGGTTAGTGTATAATGCTTAAAATAAATAAGTTTTACAGCATTAAAAAATTAGGTTTGTTCCATTAACCTATTTTAGTCAATTAACAGCTTATTTTAAGAATTAATCAAAATCAAAAACATTTCTGACATTTTTTAAGTAGAATGGAATTAAAATAAATAAGTTGGAATATCTTACATAAAATAGTTTGATCACTACATATCAACACATCTTTTGGATAAATATTAAGTTGGCTCAACTTAAGCTTTTCAAGGCCAAAGCAGCTTATGTTGGTTGTACTAAACTAATTTAGTTTGTCATATGATAAAAGACTCAGAAGACTGACTCGATAATGCCAGAGTTGGAACTACTTAAAAAGATGCATGCAAATTGTTACTTTCATTTTTTAAGTTAATTCAGTGGATTGTTATTTAGAGTGTAGCCATTCCTTCAGTCTTTCTCCACCTCTCAGGGACAGTCATAACTATAATATACAGAGTGTATATAGTGTCTATAACTACTGTGATATTTTGTCCAATAATTACTGTAGCCTCCTCAAAATAATATAACAATAGATTAATTAATAAAGGCTTATGATACCGAGAGTTTCTCAATGTCAAATTACAGAGGGTATTGGTGCTAATAATTGTTCTATTATGAGGATTTTTTTTCCATCTCATTTCATGTATTTATATAGGAAAAGACTCAAAAGTAACATCAGTGGTTGCAGGTATGTCTTTCCACCAGTTAGTGTTTATGTGGGTGTTTGAAATGTGTAATAGAGTTTGACAAAAGGAGTAAGTGCATGTGAAATTGATCATTACAGGTGGCTTTCTTCCAGAAAAGCCTGATTAAGTAAGTGTCATATGTTTAACTGATGTGGAAAGCTAGAGAAAGCAAAGAGAGTCGCTGTTAACTCGCTACGCTAGCCCTAATTGACCCACTACTAAGTGCCGGCCTCCGACACTGACTGGCCAATCATAACGTAGAATCGGGCCGGCTCAGTCCAGGGTCCAACAACAACACAGCTGTGCTCCATTGATTTAGATTTGCTTCATTTTCAGGCTGGTTTTGTGGATTTGGAGCTAAATGTTGTGCCTGGGGCACGTTGTGTATTAATGATACTTGTTACCTGGAGAGGTTGGAAAAAGAGAAACGTTTCTTCCCTGTTCCAAAACCAAAATCAAACCCTGAAAAGTGTAGGGTTAGCTAGCTAGCTACTGAAGATATAGCCTACTGAATGTATACACATGCTGCTTTTGCTTTTTAATGATTATAACAGTGAAACAAAGACCGACCCTGCTGTACAGGAACCAGTGAAGGGAAGCAGGGACACTTTGCTCATATTCAACCAGCTCTGTGTGCATTAATATTGTTTGACTTCCCCCAGAGGTTTGGCGTTCATCTGCACACACTGTGATGCCACACAGCTGGTTGAATATCAGCAAAGTTTCCCTTTATATTCATTGTCTTGTGTGGCGATCAGCAGTGATGTGGTGGTTCACTGTTACACTGTGATCTGTAGCCTATAGTTCGGCTTTAGCTTCTAACTATCTTTGTTTTTTTAACCTGTTGTTGCTGCTGAGTCAGTTTGACATCCTGAATATATCCTTCAAACACAGACTGTAGACCCCTCTGTCTGCTTCTCTCTGGAATCACTCTTTCATTTCTCCAACAATATGATCATATTCCTTCAGGGAGTGCAGTTAGTTACAGTGTGGGCTCCATGCTTACTGCCACAGCTTGACAAAGGGGCGGGGCTTAGTGAAAGGTCAATTTTTTTTAATACATCCATGCTCTGGCCAGTAGAAGCCCATGTGTACTGATCTTCCCTCTGACAGTGAACGCAGCAACGTGCCTTCTACGTCACTCGTGCTTGGTTGTGGGAATTGTAGTCTTCTTGAACATGTGTCGCTTGTATTGTTCGCGGTGAAAAACTACAAGTTCCAGATTTTACAATGCGGAAGTACGGCAACAAAACAGTGTGAGGTAGCAGCACACAGCCGAGAAGATGTCTCATGTCGCAAAGAAAAGAAAATTGGATAAAACCCGGCAGGACAGACTGTACTTTGACAGCTACACCGATGTAACCATCCACGAGGAGATGATAGCGGACCATGTCCGCACCAACACGTACCGGATGGCGATACTGAGGAACAGTGAGTCCATACGGGGTAAAGTTGTCCTGGACGTCGGAGCAGGAACCGGCGTTTTAAGCATGTTCTGTGTTCAAGCCGGTGCTAAGAAGGTGTACGCTGTTGAGGCGTGTTCTATCGCCGAGCAGGCGGTGAGGATAGTTAAACACAACAACATGGAGGACAAGGTGGAGGTGATTCGAGGCACGGTGGAGACGGTGGACCTACCGGAGATGGTGGAGGTGATAGTGAGCGAGTGGATGGGTTATGCCCTCCTGCACGAGTCCATGCTTAACTCGGTTCTCTACGCGCGCGACAAGTGGCTGAAGCCGGGCGGCGTCATCCTGCCCAGCAAAGCCGAGCTGTACATCGCGCCCATCAGCGACCCGGTGGTGGAGGACCGCTTACACTTCTGGTACACTGTGAAGGACCAGTACGGCGTGGACATGTCCTGCATGTCCGACTTCGCCAGGAGGTGCATCATGAACTCCGACATCACTGTGAACTCTGTGACCGTGGAGGACGTGCTCTCCCACCCGGCCCGCTTCGCCGAGCTCGACCTGTACTCCGTCACCGTGGAGGAGCTGCGGTCGGTGAAGGGCAGGTTCAGGTGCGAGTCTTTCGGCTCGGCGGCAGTGAACGCTTTCTGTGTGTACTTCACGGTGACTTTCCCCTGCCCGGACAAACCGCAGGCGCTCGTGCTCTCCACGTCCCCGTTCAAACCGGAGACGCACTGGAAGCAGGCGGTCCTGTACCTGGACTCTCCGGTGGATGTGGTGCAAGACACGGTGGTGACCGGAGAGATCAGCATGTTCCCCTCAGAGGAAAGCGCCAGACATATATGTATCCATGTGGACTACACGATAGGAGAGCACAAGAGACAATCTAAGACTTTCTCCATCCCTGACTGGAGCAGTGAAGCTCAGTCTTAACTTATCTACATTTAGTGTTACAGTTTATTCACCAGGCGACACACTCAGATGCCTAAATATACATTACTATCTGTCACTAAACCTGCTCACTGTGAGTTTAGAAACAAAGTGGGGCAGTGACTGAATAACTTCAATGTTACATCAGGTCTCAGTTGAATAGGCCTGCAGCTGACATCTGTACATGCTCAGTTACATTTAGACTCACATCTCCAGACTAAATCTTAAAAAAATACTAGTACATCTCTCAAGTAGACACAAACACACAACTGTGTGTGTTGTTTACAGCAGTGACTCCCAACTGGTGAGCTAAGAAAGAATCTGGACCTGTGGTTGGACCAGCTTGGTCCAGTACAGTACATGTTTTAGTTTGGAGATGTTTGTGTTGTTTTTACGCTTGTCTTCACACCTAATAAACAATTTGACACCTTAACTGTAGGAGTTAAAATGCATATCCTTATCGCCTTATTTATGCATTTTATTAACCTCACTCAATCATAATAACATGTTTACAACAGCCAGTGCTAATATTTTTGTATTACATACTGAATAATCAGTTTACAGCATTTATGACTTACTTTATATAAACACATTACTATAGGGCTGTAACTAACAAATCATTTCTCAGTAAATCATTTGATCTGTAAAGTGACAGAGAATATTTTGACCAACCAACAGTCCAAACCCCAATTATTGTTGATTTACTATTACTAATAGCAGTACTAACTGTAGCCTATTTGCTTAATGCTGTATGCTTACAAAGGAAAAACAGCAAATCCTTATAGTTTAGAACCTGGAACAACTGGGCCTATACAAAAAGTTATGAATGAATGTTTAATTGACTGTATCAGTATGTTATGCCCACCCATTTCCTAAAAAAAGAGGCAAACTCAAGCTTAAAAATGTAATTTGATTTTAAAAACCTTCACTGGGAATCTATTTGTCGTAGTTTGTGTGTGGGAATTTTAAGTGTGTGACACATCAGATGTCCTGATTGGCAGCCAGTGTGAGGAATGCTAAAAATGAAAAGGAGAAAGCCATGAGTGGGACAATGGTTCGCTTTATTGTACGGAGCAAATTACAACAAAGTACCAGTAGAGACAACCTACCAGCATCAGTAGACAGTATCACAACAGCTACCTGTCTTATTTTTTCTCATTTTTATTGTCTTATGTCATGATAAGTGTGATAATACACGTTACAGATGCTGCTGTGCACAGATATAAATACAGGTGTGCCTTGAGATTTTGGCTCGCCCTTTAGTGCGCCTTGGGCACAAAAAGTTTGAAAACCACTGCTTTAAGGAACGTTTGGTATTTTTGAATCAGAAGTCATTTTTAACAGTTGTCATTTATTTTCTGTCCATCAGCTAATTAATTAATAGACTAATCATCTCAGCTCCAGCATTTAGATTTCAACAGTTATATTGTCAGGGTGATAAAGCGATGAAACAACATTCGACCATCACAAGGAATCAAAACTCTCCTGGGTGATGAACAGTTTCTAGGTGTCTGTGTGCAGCTCTGAAATTCAGAGTGAGGCAGGTTTCATCTGAGCTTTTACAAATTGTTGAATAAATTCAACACCATGCTGCAGGCATCTGATATTCTAATAAATGTAATCATGCATATTGTGTGGAATCTGATCAAAATGCTGCATTCAAATGAGGATTAGGCCGATATATTGACTTGGACTAGCTGCAGTCAGGCAGGAGGTGTTTTACATTGGCTGGTTTTCAGTTTTTAATAACAAACTAAATTGGCTCATTATTTTGGTTTAAAACGAGCACACACTGTCATCTGGTGCCAGAAACCACCGACTTCATCCAAAAGTTGTGATTCCACTGCAACATTCTGCACGACAACAACTAACTGGATTATTTTTACAACAGAGTATTTCCCTTTGGGATACTAAGGATCATGCTGAATCCAAGTGACTGAGTTGTGACAATGAAGTTTTTATCCCTTGCAACAATCAGGATAAATCTTTTTTTTTTTTTTTTAAATGAAAGTTAATAGTTTAATGGCTGTTTAATAATTTCTCAGCATGTATTGGAGAATGTTATCTGGTCACTGATCAGTCAATGATTCACTTTGTATACTACTTTTGAGTAGGCATACATTAGGTGGGTTTGGATTTTGGCAGATTGTAATGCAGGGAGTGTGACTGTGTAGACTTTGGAACAGTTTACCAACTACATGCATTATTGAAAAAATGGAAACTAGGCTCTAATAAATTGTTTGACTGTTTCATGTGTACTGAGTCCTGACTGAAAACGTAGTAGCTAACTACAGAAAGAATCTTGAGCATGTGGGGTTGTGGGTCTGTGTTGTGTGTTCTGGGTCTGCCCCAGGGCCTCCTACCAGTGGGACGTGTCTGGAACACCTCCAGCAGGAAGCTTCCAGGAGGCATCCTGATCAGATGCCCGAATCAGCTCAAGTGACCCCTTTCGACACGAAGGAGCAGCGGCTCTACTCTGAGCTCCCTCCGGATGTCCGAGCTCCTCACCCTATCTCTAAAGGGGGATTTATACTTGTGCAGTAGACCCTACGCTGTAGCCTACGTACACAGCCTACGCCATTGTGAGCATTTATACTTGTACAGTGGTGTGTCTGTGTCCCTCTGCAGTTACACCTCCAAAACACTAGTCAGTGGTGGAGTTTTTGTGAAGTGCCGTAAAGTTTAGTTAATTCAGAACACACACTAAACACGACTTAACACAAGTACACAAATCAGCTTCACTATAACTCGCAGCATTCACAGACAAATACTTGTCTTTATCTGGACACATTTTCCTTACAGATACAACATGCTAACATTATTAGCACAATTCTATGGCATTTTACATTGTATAAATTAGCCTAGCAGCTATCAGACTTTTCCTCTACTCATATGAAGCCAGGGACAACAGCAACATTTAACAAAGGTAACGTTACAAAATTCGGCTCCATTACAACTCACAAGGTTCACTGACAAAACAACTGTCTTATACTAAACACATTTTCCAAACAAATGTAACATGCTAACGGTATTAGCACAAGCCTATGGCATTTTACATTGTATAAATTAGCCTAGCAGCTAGCAGACTTTTCCTCTACTCATATGAAGCCAGGGACAACAGCAACATTTAACAAAGGTAACGTTACAAAATTCAGCTCCATTACAACTCACAAGGTTCACTGACAAAACAACTGTCTTATACTAAACACGTTTTCCAAACAAATACAACATGCTAACGTTATTAGCACAAGCCTATGGCATTTTACATTGTATAAATTAGCCTAGCAGCTAGCAGACTTTTCCTCTACTCATATGAAGCCAGGGACAACAGCAACATTTAACAAAGGTAACGTTACAAAATTCGGCTCCATTACAACTCACAAGGTTCACTGACAAAACAACTGTCTTATACTAAACACATTTTCCAAACAAATGTAACATGCTAACGGTATTAGCACAAGCCTATGGCATTTTACATTGTATAAATTAGCCTAGCGACAAGCAGAGATTTCCTCTACTCATATGAAGACAGGATAAATCACACACAAGACGTAGACTCTACACTGACGCCAAACCTGTGCTATAGGTACACCGTTGTTTCAATGCGAAAGTATCAATCCTGCATAAGGCTGAGCCCAGCTACCCCACAGTGGAAACTCATTCTGCATTTCTTCCTTCCTATTATGTAAAAGTCATAATTAATGTTTGAAAAATGTGTGTTAAAACTGTTAAGTTAAGGAATGGGTACTAATTACATGTATACGAATTAATATGATTAGTCGTTTATATACCATTTGAGTATTGGCATTGACCTGCTGAACTATACTGCTCTTCAGCAGTATTTATAACACCAGAGCTGATAATAATAATGAATCCACTCCTAAATGATCATTTTCTACATACAATTTTTTTTCATTATCACCATTTCTAGAGGCACATTATTATTATTTTTTGTTTTGTTTTGTGGAATATTGTGTTACTCTCAGGTCAAACCAAGGACAATGTGTTGATTAAACATTTATGTAACTAAAATAGACAGTGCAGACTGTGCTGATTAAGTCTGTCTCAGTGTGCGTTGAATTGGAGCCATAAGATGTGAATGAGCATCATAAAGCACCTTCTCTGCATTTCTAATTATACAGCAGTTAATAAATACATATAGATTCATGAAGACGTTAGATGATAATTCATCTTTCACAGCCCATCATCATTTGAAATATGGTTTTCATTTGTTTCAGTGTTATCAGTACAAATGTGAATCCACTCTGTAATGAACACATTGGAAATTAATCACAAGCTATAGTGTCTACAAATCAAGGGCATTGTCTGTCAGTTTGGGAAAGAGTGAATAATGGCTGAATCGCATTTCCTGCTGCAGACGACTAGCCTCTGATTTCCACTTGGATGAACTATATTGCAACATTTTGAGCCTATGAAGAGTAAAAACACACACATCAAAAGATTGTGCGTGAATCAGCAGAAAGCAGATAGAATACACACACTGCTCACTGGCTTTTTAGAATGACATTAAACAAGCTGGCTGTTAGTTATGGTGACAGTGAATCGGGAAAAGGTGGCTAAAGTTGTCCAACCCCAAATCAGTGCCTCCGTGAACAATCTGAAGTTTAAATCTGGCCTGAAACTGTCTCCAATGTTTCTCTTGACACTCATATTTTTGAAGATTTGGCACTTTGAGTGTACAACCAGAGTCACCAGAGTAAATGTTGGCATTGTATATTTCTGCAGATATGTAACATTTTTAGGTTATTATCAGGCCCAGGCAGAATATCTGACGATGATATCTGATTATGTTTTTGCGTAAAAAATCTTTTGCTGTGTGTTCCACTAACCAGTCTGATTTTGCAAGTTAGTCTTAATATAATTTCTTATTTCGAGGTATCTAAAAAAATGTGTCGAAGGTAATCAACTGCTTTTGTTGTTTGTTGGTCTCAAACAGTGGTCTGCAGTGTGGCAGTTGTCTCGCAACCCAGTTGTTAGAAAAACATTTCTGCAAACAGTTACATTTGCTTTTTATTTTGTAGCAGATCTGTTAAAGCTTTACATTTCTAAACAATGCTGTGGTGAAAGTGTGGTTAGGTGTAGGCAGCAAAACCACTTGGTTATGGTCAGGAAAAGATCATTTTTCACTTTAAACACCCACATTTGGTGGGGTTAAATGTCACTGGGAAATGCCACGATGTGACGGTGAAAATGTAGAATGTAGAAAATGTGGATGTAATCAGAACTACACCACTTTGGAAACGTTGATGTGATAGGTATAAAACATACAAATGTAACATACTTGTAGTTTACAGAAATGTACAATGCCAGCTTTTCCTTCTGGCACTGTGCTGCAGTGTGACGGTGATGTTTGTGTGAGACATTAGTTCCAAATCAAAACGTGAACCAAAGCAAAGACTTGATGTCGTCGCTACCTCAACACTGATGACTGATCATAGAAGGTAAACTCTATAGGCTTTGCATGCTATTTCACTTGAGACAGGAGATTCAGTTATATAAGCGACAGCAGCTGCAACTGCAAACAATAAAACAGTACAGCAATCAAACTCTTGATGCATGTGATCAGCATACAGTTAGAAAACACAAACAGTGGTAGCTTGTCAAGATGAAGACGGTCCTCCCTAAAGTCTCCTGTCACACTGGAAACAACTGTTTCTGTGGTGTCGTTCAATTATAGTGTCCAGGAGGCACCATGGGGAGCTCATAAACTAGGCATTTAATGACGAATTGCTTCTTATGTAACTAACAATCATCACTTTAGCCTTTGGAGCCACTTCTGTCTTGACTAACAAGTAGTGTTGATCGTCCATGAAGGCACATACAGACATTGAAACCAGTGTGTTAGGATGTCTCTTGAACGTCAGATTTCGAATCTTAGCATGGTGTAAGATGCATGCTTTTTGGAAAGAAAGACAGATATTTCCACATGGGGAATAACCCACTGTTTGCCATTTATATCAGACCAATAGACTGAGCCTCACAGTTTATGTCTGAGAGATGTTGTAGTCACAGCCGTTTTACAGTCTGTAACTCATATACACTCTTTCTTTCAAAAGTCAAGTAGTCAGAGCGACTTAAAGCCCTGGTTGTGACCATGTCTGACCAAGGTCACATCTCTGTTGTCAAATGTGAAAGAGGATTGTTTCCTTGGGTCATTGCTCTGCTGAGAAAGGGCCGTACAGTGTGAGGTGGTCCTTTCAGTGTCTCTGTTGCCTGAGTAGCACTTTTGTGGCGGGGAGAGACAGAAATAAAGTCCTGTGCTTTTCATTCATATTAAATTCTACGCTTGCAGCTGACCTGATGTGCACGTACAGTGACTGAATGTCTCCTTCTACAGGTGCCTTAAGAAAAAAAAAAAAAAAAAAAAAAAAGCCCCGCAGACAGCACAAAGGAAAGGGACCGGAGAATGGAAATGTCAAATGCAGTGCAGGCAGCCACTGTTAAGCCGCCCAGAATCAGGCTCATGCATGCATGGCCACTCCTGGCTGCTAAATGCTAAACTAATTGTGATCCATTCCTGCCTGAAATGGTTTGGAAACCATTAGAAACAAGTGTTGAAACTTGAAATGGGATTATTTGTCTTGTATCGCGCAGCAATTTAGGAGCCAATCAATAGACAATGTGCTTAATCTAACTGATTTCAAGACTCATTGTTCAATGCAGGACGTGTGGGTGAGACAAAGAGACAGCACAGTCCAGGACTCAGTGAACTGGAGTCACAATATATGCAGTTGTCTTTAGAGCCTGTGTTTCAACTTCTGGACCATAAATGTCATGATTAATAGGTGGGGATAAAGTAATGCCAAGGCCACACCGCCCGCGGAAGCGCCGCGAATAGCTTTGAAGCACCAAGAAGTGAAGCCAGTTTCCTTTTGGTGCCCATGTTAACTGATTGTGTCATCCACACCGGCCGCGCCGCGCAGCTCCGCCGCCGGCCCTGCAGCGATCATTTCGGCGTCTGGTCTATTTTCTGCGCGAGCCGCGAGCGAATGGGTCAAGCCGAGCAGTTACCCATGATGGAAAAACAACAGCTGGGAGCAGAATCGCTTGTCGACCGGCGCGGAGAAATGCGTTTCTGATGTGAACGGAGGTGCTCCCGCTCGTGCGAGAATTTCAGTGCGCTGCGCTTCGCAGGCAGTGTGGCCCTGGCGTAATGCATTCTAGGGAAGTAAGTGACATAGCACTTGTGATTAAAGCTTCTTATATTCTGGTCATATTTGGAGCTTCA